ACACGGTTCGCGTATGATCGTGTGAACGTTTGTTATTCAACTACCGTACGCGCCCAGAAGACGTTCGAGTCAGTGATATACGTATTGTGTGGAATAAACCCTGCGACGCCTAGACCTAGCACATGCGCGTGCGTAACAACAAACGAACAAAAATAATATTGTTACATGTTATATGTTTACGATAACTTGAAAAATAATTTATGCATAATACATACATCGTATAGTTGTGTGTACACATACACACACACACACACACACACACACACACACACACGTGCGCGCACTCGTGTACGATATGGGTATAAGTGGTAGTGGTAGACTAATAGATTATACGATACAATATAGGAGCAGCTATTGTTCCGGAGCAGTTCCTTAATTATAATACAACCGCCTATGTGTAATATGCGACGGGTACCTATGGTCGACGACAACGGGTAGTAAATATAAGTAAACGTGAAATGACTTTTTTTATTCTCCTCTCGTTTTCGGTTCGATCACAAAACGATGCGAGAAAGCAATTTTAGCCGTGTTTTTGTGACGGAAACGCTTACTTGGGCCGTGAACTATCGCGGAGTGAGCGTTGTGAATTTCAATGCGTTTTCAGTCTGTGCTTGTTGAACATATTGTTGACGCATGTACATAAATATGTGTGAAAAACACCCCATTCGCGTTTTTAATATTTTCCATGTATTTTGCACCTCGTGCGCGATGGCGAATCTGATGGAAATATTTAACACGTTAGTCTTGTTGTGTGCACGGGCTTTGATTCGTCAATAAATACCGATTGGTTTTCGCGGTAAATTCCAGATGTTATGCGCCGTGCTCACGGCGAATGTAAAAATGTCCAATACGATTTCGGTGCCGCGATAAATATTTGATTTTCAAGTGTACGGATTTACATACACTCGGGTAGTTCGTAGGCTTATCCGAACCTGCTATTAAGTAGCTAAATCATGTGGTGGTTTTCTCCTCTTGTTTACGTTGTTGTACGCGGGCCACAATTCTCGAGTTATTGAACGGAATGTATATGATGTGAAGAAACACGAACCATCAAAAACACGAATTCGGGATAAATATGCATCATGTTATTTATTTTTGAACTCGTTGGACGATCATTCAAAATTATAACGTTTCGCACATGGTGCATTATATAGGTACGAAAATCTGCGATTTTACTATATTATTATATTTCGCTATAAATTGCTTGTGTGTATTAATATACGGGTTTTCTTTTTGCAAATAAAACTATTTGAATAATGAAAATTGTCTAAAAGATACTTTGAAAAGTCTATGCGTTCATTTTCAACCATATCTACAAAAATAATGTTGATCAAGTAGGTACACATGGCTTAGGTTATTTGAATATCTGGTTTATACGAAAAGTATCTCGATATAGAATGTCCCTCGTATCAGAAACGAAAATACGTTATATTTCTTGTTAAAAACGAATTAAAAACTATTTTCAGGCATATGGGTGGAAAAACTAAATAGTTTACCAATTATAACCAACCCATCATGTTTTTCAGACATATCGTTTTACGAATGAATTTCATAAAATATGTTTGCGACATACTAAAATACAATTAGTTTATATTTTTTCATTAAATGTTTAACAGCTTATAATATTATTATAGTAATAATATGTTAATTTTAAAAACAACTAAAAGTATATTGTCAGTTAAATAAATTTGATTAATAAATTAAATCATCAAACGATATTGTATTGTAAATTAAACTGAGACTATTTTGAAAATATTTAAATTTTAAACATTGGTTGTTGGCACCGAGGCCGAATGCTTGTCTTTGCTGCATAAACAGGATATTGATGGTAGCCGGCAGGTGTACATCAGAATGGATTATACTTTGAACCTTATGTGTTGGTCACTAAGCTAGTCGCATTAATTGTGCACATTTTGAAATATACTATTCTACAAATGGGTTTACATTTATCAGGATTCTAAAATTTCAAAAATATTATGTAACCATAATAGGGCTTGTTAATTCTGTTGTTGTTATAAGTATAAATCATTTTTACTTACTTTTACCCAAAATTTGTAAAAAATATTCCAATAGTATTTGATTTTAAAAAGTAGAAAATTATTTTTTTTCAGTTATTTCAGCTTTTGAATAAATCGAAAAGCACATTTTATGTTTAATGTTGATTTAAGAAATTCAATTTATAGGAATTTGAAGGAGATAAAACTAAAATAAACAATTTTATTAACAAAAATTGTTTATAAATACATCAAAAAAATTATATAAACAATAAATTCCTACCTTTTCGTATTTATAAAATATAAACATAGTACGAGTATGTATATATAAGATAATGCCACTTTAAATCAATATTGATTCGAAAATAATATTTTGGTGGACATGTTATTGCAAAAATATAAAAAATGCCGATTTATTTGTTGTCTATAATAGTGATTTTGTTTTTATTTTTATCAGAGGTTTTAATTTATTTTATTTTATAAATATTTGTATTGTAAATAGGTTTTTTTATTGTATTATGTCATAATTTATATTAAATCTTCTGTATATTGTATTTATTAGGTGTCAATTTTAGTTAGATTGTTGATACAAACACCAATAAATCATCAACAATGATCAATAATCGTGAAAATATTAAATAAAATGTTTCATGCATACATAAGTAATTTTTAGCTCACGTATTTTTATGGCTTAAATTGTTTTTAGAACAAAACAACACTTAAGTATGTGTTATACAATTATTAACACTATCATTGAATTGATATATAAAAATAAAAATAAATTATATACATATATATATATATTTAAATTCTAAGGACTTTGGTTTAAAGCGATTCACATTATTTCAAAATGATATTTTACTGATGAAATTTGTTGCTTACGATGTTCATTTGAACTTGATAAAGAATAATGTACTTTTCTTACGTTTTAGTTCTGTTAGTTAAATTACTAAACAATAATCGTAGTCCATGTTTTGTAATGAAATTAATAAAAGTTTGTTTTAAATTGTATTATCGGTGTTGTACAATATTGCTATACCCGGACAAAAATCATCCAAAGCCTAGAGCAATTACATTTCAATTGTAAACTGTGAGGATATAAAACTTTTTTCATTGTAAATAAGACTTTAGATAAAAAACGGATGTTTAGGCAGCGAGATTTGCAGTGCGATATTTCATGTTATTTATCATTACAGTTAATATGAAAATGCAGTGTACATGGATAGGTTTTATTCATGTTATAATATTTTACTATTATTGCATCATAATAGTGCAAATAAATAATATAAATTTGTCCCGGATCTTTTAAAACTTATGCATCGTTTATCATTTTCATAAACATAATAAAGTTTATTAAGTTATTAAATAATTAATATTTATAATTGCGTGGTTAGCCGTTATTAAGATAAGTATAAATGTTTGTATATTGTTTCCTATAAATATAATTATTGTAATAATGGATCTTCTGACCGAACAGTTATTTACTGAGCTAATTCATAAGTATAGTTTGTGAATGAAGTAATAATTTTCTTTATTAAATTAAATTAAATTTTTCTTAAATTGTACGTTTAAATGTATTGTAAAATGAGGTGCGATAATATGTAATGTATAGCTTGTGGCTGATATGTTGTACATTTTCGTAATAATTTTGATTACTCTTTTTAGAGTAGAAAAACATATCAAAAAGTTCTACATTTCGCTTATTTGTTAAACAAATTTTCAGCATAATACATTAAAAAATTAAATTCTGCTAATATTTCATAGATTATATTATTGTGGTTATTGTTCCATTGGAATAATAATAGTATCTCATTGTGCAAAAAATCGTTAACTGGATAGGTACGTATTTTCTGTGTGGAAAATATGAATATCAGATTGATGAATAAAAGTCGATCCTTCCTCATTCGTATAAGGTATTATTTGTTAAAAACATGCTGAAAATAATATACTGTTTTTTATTCTGCATTAGAACTACACAATGTAATTTTTTTAATGTGTCAAAACCGTAATAATCGTAATATTGTAACAAATATTATTTTTTTTTTCAATTTTTTCAAAACGAAATTACATAATAACCATGTGACTAATATTTAAAAATCATTACTCTCATTGATGACTATAGAAAAACCAGTTATAAAATAATGTTGACCCGTTTCTTCGTTTTGTACAACTATTTATTTATTAATAACCTTGAGGTGGCCAATGCATTTATTTGAAAATAAAATTATTCAAGATATCCGCATGGAAATCGCATGTTTCTTAACTAGACATAATAATTGATGTGTAGTGTTAGTCGTCAGAATTCAAGAGAAAGGAAGTAAACTGGAATAATAAGCAAAACGTTCCTTTATAAAAGGTATGCGACATTAAAAAATTAATTCTCAGCAATTATATACGTTTATTCACATTCACACGTAACACGTGTTACACATTTAAAGGTTAAGACCTTATAGTAATTATTTTAAATGCATTTTTTCATTGTTATAATTACTTTATTAAAATATAATACACTTGTATATTTGTGTAATTGTGTGAATGTATGAGTGGGAACTGTGATTTAAATGATTAAAAGCAATTTATAATATGCCCTTTTAATTATATAGTGATCCATGAAAATAGTTAAATATTTTAAATAAATATACTTGAATTCTGAACTCTGTTATTTTAGATAAATCCACAAAAAAGTATAATAATTTTGTTTGTTTTTGAATGTATTTATTACTTTGCAAATATTAGTTGAAATGTTGCATTTTGTATTATAATTCAATTATTTAAGAACTGATGATATAGTTACTCTAAAATTAAAACAAGAAAATAACTTATGATATGTAAAAGCTTAATGTGAATAATAACTAAAATAATGTAACGTTTAAAATCTAAGTATTTTGTTTCATTAGCTTATAACGTGAATATTCAGTCCATTAAAATAAATTATTTTAGACTAACAATTTTAACGAAACTACTTATTGTATAATGTTACTATATAATTATAAATATTGTGTAGTGTAAAATGGGTTTTCTTTATTTAAAACATACTTCATTTCTTCTGTACACAATGAAACCAAGTTCTATACAACTGCGGGGTGATTTGGCCACTTACATTATTTTTTTTTTTAAACATTAACTATATGATAAAACGCATTATTAACGGTGAAATGTCCATTAAATATTTGGTTATTCTCGTTTACATTTCTGAGTAGTGGTGCTTTGATACAAAATGTCTTATATGGTTTTGAGTTGTATATATTATGATTAATGATATATATTTTATGCAATTTTTTTAAAAAAACTAAATATATCACATGGACAATACTCAAAGTTTGAAAAATCAGTTGTAGAAGTACGATTTCGTTTTCATAATACCACTATAGCTTTTTCGACTTATTGTTTTCCAAATTGTTAAAAATGATGTGTTCAATGTTTTGACTTTAATTTGAAATAAGACTTCACCGATATTACGAGTGTTTTTTTTTTCACAGAAAAACTGCTCCCGTAGCACAATATAAAATGTATTCGAAAAATAACAGACTCTGTCAGCTTTTGTCAAAAAAGTTTCTTTCGTTTTCATATTTGCCGTTTTAGTTGAAATGAAAAATCATCACACCGTTGTGGTATCTCCATGGAGAAAGTAAACACACGACGAAGGGACATTATGCAGTTTCAGACGGCGTGACATCCGACGACATTCTTTACTTTTTTCTTCATGTACGTGATGGCCAAATGAAATGGTTTTTACAATGGAAAAAAGACATATCTAAAGAACGTAAAAATATTTATAATGCATATGTGTGTATGAAACATAGCTGGCGGGTAGTGGAAAAAATTTACATTTTACATATAAAAACATAGATATATCCATATTTTATGTAGAAAAATTATGTTATATATTATGTATATGCATTTCAAATTGGTAAAATAGTTGCATGGTTTCATTTTATCTTTTCGTAAAAGTCATTTCAAAATAAAATCTCATTTTTGAGCTAGAAAAGCAGAACTGTAATTCAACCGTACGTTGGATTCGACTCAACAACACCCCATAGTACGAATAATATTATGTTCTACGCCGATGTCATGGAATTAAACGGATGTATAAAATATAATATTACTCACACTCGTACACACATATTGAACACATGGAGTCTCACACTCGACGTCGGCGGATTTTATTCTCTCTTGTCTTTGTCTCCAATCGTTATTATTCCCATCGTTTTTGTATACGCCGGCCATGTATGCGCGCGCATGTTCGATCGACTTCAATGGCTGCAAAAAGAAAATTAAATTGAAAAAAAAATGAATATAATCCAAGTAATTTATACCGCTAGTGGGTGTGTGTTTTTGCGTGATGGATTAAATTGACCAAATTGGTTTAATTAAAGCGAAATTCGAAACTCCACTTTACCACGCAGCTTGATGAGTAGATGATTTTTTAAACATGCAACGAGTCGGATATTTTATGTGCTGTTTAATATGTTTATAATTGTACCAATGATCCGTTTAATGTTATATTATTACCATTGCTATATTATTGTTGTTATCGTGCACTAAACAGTTTCGGTAAATTATCACTCTTCCAAAGCCACTCGGGTCGAAAGTTCAATTCTCATACATATAAATGCGTTCTTGTAATTATAATTGTTGATAAAATATACAAAGTTCATAATTTAATAATTTAAAATTGAAACAACCACCACGGTAATCCGTACTAAAGTAAAAAATAATATAATTTTTGTGTTTAAAAATTTCACTTGTTGTGAGATCATTAGATTATACGTCAAATTTATGAAACACTAGGGATTTTTTTTTGAAGTTTAGATATTTTCATAAAATAATGCAAATAAGATCAAATATGTAAAATGTATTTGAATACATTTTAAAATGTGGTTTGTGCGATCTCAGCGTCATATCTAAATAATTATATGTTGATCGTTAAAATCAAAGAATTATTTTAAAAACATATTTCGAGCCTCGTATCTCTAGGCTTTCCGTTCATTGCGAATCGTGTAATGATTGTAGGTCACACTTTTTTGTTGATAAAGGACGCAAAAAACTTCATAGTATCACTCAATATTTTATAAAAGGTTATTTTTAGTAAGATAAATGTTCCGTTTTTATATTACATATGAAAAATAAAAATAAGATAAAAAACATTGTTGTTCGAGTCGTAACCGATTAAATACGGGCACGTATAGTGTTTTGACAGTTCAATTGAACTGTGTACAGTTACTGCAGTCCTCAAAATAGTTTTTCTTACGTCAAACGTCTTTAATTTTAACGACAGTTTTCGAGAAATCAATAAATCGTCTACTTACAAACGTATATACTTGCACTACACGTCACGATGACGGCCGATCGCTTGTACTTAAACGTTTCCGTTTACCAATGTCAAGGCAGAAAATAGCTTTTATGTCAAGATACGTTTATGATGAACACTATATATATATATATTAATATTTACAACTTTTGTTGTCTTATTGTAGTAGATTATTCGTCATTGAGTGTAGTAGCACCATCAAAAAATGGAGGAATATTATTTTTTACGTATTTGGAGTCAGTGCTGCCTAACGCTGGATGACTTCGTTTAAGGAAGTGCACATTATAATATAATATATTAAGCACATCAATAATTAATCGCTAATAATTATTGGTAATACTATTGTATAAAATATAAAATCTAAGAAAATTTGAATTTTATTTTTGCATGAGTTTTGCAATACATTTGGTAGTCTAAAACTTTCGTAAAAACTAAAAACGTTCTGAATTATAACGAAATGTAAATACTAACATAGAACATTCAATGTACTTACCTTCCTATACCTACTAATACTTAAAATATTATTTTATTTGTCTTGTATTGGTAAATATATAAATACAAACTAATTACGAATATATTATTTACATTTTTTTTTTTATTATTTAGTAATAGTTATTTATAGTTAAAAAAATAATATTACTAAAAAAATCAAATAAAACATTAATTTAAAATTTCTATACAAAAAATCTCCTGTGTTTCTTTAAACAAACGAAAAACTATGGTATATTTAAATTTATAATCTATCAATAGTTGATAAAAATTATGTATTGTGTATTTTATACAGTTAAGAGATTTAATAATATAATTATTTAAAATAATTTATTGAAAAACAATTGATTTTAAGTATAATATTTTATAAAAAAAATTTGTTTATCGTGCAACTACGTCTTGAATTTATACATAGGTTCAATGATGTGTAACAAAGTTTTATTTTATTCCAATAATTTTAGTGTGGTAAAGAAGTATCTTAAATTATAGCTAAAATATATTGTATAGTTTAATGGCCATATGTTTAGAACTATTGACCTAAGAACTCTCCAGTAAACATGGGTTGTATTATGTTTATTTTTTTTTTAAATAAATATAATGCTGTATTATGTTTGTATAAGAAATTATACTTTATTTGTAGACTCATACAAGAGTTTCATATTGTAATATTATGCTCGCGCAATGTTAGCATATCATATTAATGATACATAATCATTTGTAATTGTATTTTGTTGGTTGTAGTCAGAAATCAAAATCTTAGATATTCTTTAAGGTAGCGTTATTGATGTTCTTTAATAATGGATTGATTTTTTGTGACATGCCGTTTGTCGTGAACATTTTTTACATTTATTTTTGATTCAGTTTGATAGATATCAGGTGTCAGTGGTCTTGTTGGATGATTGTCTACTTCACTTAATTATTATTTGTTTTGTTACTTTTTGTTATCTGTACATATACGTTGTACATATACATTGTTATTTATATAGGAGTACTACAGGACACGCATAAACCAAGACTATAGTCGATTATTTCCAAGTATATAAAATAAGAAGTTATTGATCTGTACTGATGTATGATCTGAAGGTTATAACTTTTATTTTATTACTTATTATTTATTTTTGTCGATGTGTTTTAAAAATATTTGTTGTGTTAATTTACACCATATACGAAATAATAAAACATAAAACTAAAATTAAAAACGAGTTAATGATTGATACTCATAAATTAAAGTAAAAACAAGTACATTTTTAGTATAGAGTTTTATTATATTTATTAAGTACGACCGGTTTTTAATTAAAAATTTATCATCTGGTGTATAAAAGTCAATAAAAACGCGAATCTATAAATATGAGTATTTTGAATATTCGTCTGAAGATGAATTTTTAATTCAAACCCTGTCGTACTTTATAAATATAATAATAATCCAGACAAGCATATATTTATTTATTTCTATACATATAAACTATTTGTTTATTTATTTATATGAAATGTTATTTCATTTTCACCTACATCAACAATCAACATATATTGTTGGTCAAATATAATATGTAGATAAACAGTGAATTGAAATAAATTAATAGTTGTAATTTAATAGAGTCATAACAATTAATGATTTGAATTAGTATTGCAGGAATATAATTTCTATTTGATAACTATTATATTATTTAATTATAATTAAACATAATAATGGATAAAAAAATAAAAAAAATAGATTAATAATCATGTCAAATGGCATAACTATACTAATATATAGTAAATGTAATAATAAGTAAATGTAACAAAACAAATATAGGACACATTATAATTTAAAACAAGGCTGGCGGATTTAATAAATATTATATTACAAACGCAGCAGAGTATTATTGAAGAAAAAAATATTATATATTACAAGCAATGTGCCGATGATTTTTAAAAAGTGAAATTTGTGAACATTCAATTGCCTCACAATTTTTATAAATAAATACATGCAAAACACTTTGTGTACTGGTCACACCAATAATGTTTATACATTTTAAAAGTATAATTTATAAGACTAACTCAATGTGAAAAGAGAAAAATCTTAAACATTTATTGAAAATGTAATTGCGTATATCCTATTTATATCCAAAAATGTTATGAACAAATAACACATTGCTATTATTAAAAAACTTATTATAAATATTTAGTCTGACAAAATGTTTTATTTATTTTTTCGCAGGAAGTTGCGGAGTGCCAGATATGACATCTATATCAGATATCGACGAAGATGTTATAAATCGTAATCTGCAGATCAGATATTCTGAAAATTGTATATATGTATCCTTTTTAACATAACATAATTTTTATTTTTTGTACACAAAATAAACCTAATTTTTATTTGTGCTTTTGTTACATAGGTAAGTTCGAATTTATATAAAAAAACTTTATTTTATTAATAAATGAACAGTATATATGAAATATTTGATCTTATACTTTCCAAAGTTATATTAGAGTTGATAAAACGTCGAGCATTATGTTAGCGCTTGTAAGGATTTAATTCACGAGAATGACTACACATCTTATTCGCTTTTAATTTATGTAATTTGTATTTTAATGTGAAGATAACGAACTCACTTTTATGGTTTTTGTTTTTTTACAATTCGTTTTGGACATAGATAGGTTTATTAGGCACAATGTAACATAACTTTTAATTAAATCTGTTTGTTTAATCCAAGAATAACAGGTCTATTCTGCAAGTCCATGGGCCGCATCAAACCGGCGAAATTGGTTTTGTTTATCAGGGGTTGCCTTTATTCGCATTAATAGCTTAATTTAAAATGCAAAAAAAACAAAAAAAATTTAAAAAAACCTTGTCTGATAATAACAATTATTTTTTTTTTTTTGAGGAAACTGTGTACGCATGTGATAAATTAAATTATTATTATTGTAGTCAAATGGTTTGTCAATTAGTTTTTTTTAATTGCTCGACAGTTTTTCAACTTTGTATTATGGATTTCATCCCTGGATTTATGGATGTATAAAAAATCGAGACACATAATATGTATTTTAATTTCAAATTAAATTTTAACAAATATTTAATTGATTTTAATATTATTACTTGTATGAATTGACTTTAAGTATTTATATATAAATACATACATAAAAAAATCGGTCTTCAAGAAAATAAACGAATGCATGATATAAATTTAACTACTATAATAAACATATAGTACTCAATTGTCAATAAGATATGACGTTTTTTTTTAACAATATAATAAATCAGTGTATAGTTCTGATACCTATTGGACTAAAGACATAAAAAATATTGATTTCAAGTAGCCTTTTAAGATTTTCGTTATTATCTTATCAGTTTTGTCTCATAAAGAATGATAATTTCTATCGTTGTTGTATCTTATTAAATATTATATTTCGGCACACGTAGCATAATATTTTATGTCTATATTGCGTGCACTAAACCATTGTTTAATACCATAATTATCATTGTTTTTGAGTTGGTTTTTAGACGTTCTTAAATTATTACCGTCATATGTTAAATATTCTACAAGCGATTGTATTGATAACGTGTAAATGCTCGTTTATGAATAAGATTTATCACATATTCTAAAAAAATGTTTGATTAAAAGTTTATATTAAAATCCGAGGTTGTCTGAATTAGAAACAAGAATAAGTTAGTAACACAATTTGTTTACGATTACGTTTTATCACGGGGTCAGTGATTACTATTTTATAATGTTCTTCATCATTAAAAAAAAAAAAAGTTAAATTTTCAATAACTTTAATAGTTGTAGGTTTTGTTGTTGCATATAATTGTTGATAATCGAACTCGAAAACAAAAATTGCTCTACATAATTCTCGTTGTTTACTTTATAATAAAAAAATAATATACTTTATAACACTAACAAATAATTTTTAAGGTCATAATATTATACCACTGAACCATTTCGTTTTGTAAACAATTGTTTTGCTGTTTATTTTACAAATCAATTTATTTCCGATATAATGGAATTTTGCCGATCCGTTACACTATATGGACTTAATAATATTACATAGTCTATGCGCACGCTAATAGTTTCCGTTGCAGAGGTATTTCTATAGTAGTGGGAAAATTGTATTGAAATCGGCCCAACCGGTGTGGAAGTAATGTAAAACTCCCCTTATAATAGTGAAATGATTGTTTTTCATTGTTTTGAACAATACAAGAGAATCTCGGCATTGGGGAGGCAAAAAAGCATGCAATCATGTGCACAGTAACTAAACTATTTAATTATTCAACTATCAACGTTATTCTTAAAGATCTTAGGATAATAATTAATTTACACCTAATTTTAATTATTTTGATATGGACAATGATTCGGAAATTTTTTTATAGCTTTCGTTGTTAAAGAATTTGTGCTTTTTGAATCATTTAATAATATTAGTTTTGTACAGTAATTATTGTTATAGTGTCGTTTTTGTTGAACCAATGTAATGAATTGATTACAATTTAATATAATACCCAAGTCGTTAGCAGTGTTAACAAAATAAAGTTAGAAAATAAGCTTTGCTTGATAAGTATTGTACTCAAAACAGTTGTGAAGTTTGATCGTATTTCTATAGAAATTTTCAGCAAATGTAATTGTGATTATTTGAAATTGAGTTTAAGTTTTAAAAAGAAGGATAAACTATTTTTTTCCACTGTTTCGGTAGTTGTTTGTGTTTCAGATATAGACCATTAATGAAAAAATTATTTAAATCCGATAAATGTTATGTTATAATTATCGATTATTATGCGTTTTATCTTGAAGCAATAATAATTAATGATAATTGGTAACACTCGAATGCAAAAGTAAAATTTTGATTCATATGATTTAGATTATATTATTAAGTAGTAATAATAATATAATACATTTTCGGGTCGTTTTATGGTAGAATATAATTGTGAACAATAATCATTTTCACTATCGGAATTATTATAATAACTGATTTATAATTCATGTATAAAATTATTCTGATTTTAGCCTCCGCTTTGATGTCGTTAAATCGACGATTAAATGTAATTACTATATGATGTATTCAACACGTTAACTCTTGACCCTTTTTTTATTGTTTTGTGTTATCGTGAACGCCACTGAAATTTGATGAATATTAATTAATTATTAATTCGATGTTGTCACATCATTTATATGTACGTCGACGATAATAGTGAAATTTGTCCACGCTTAAATTAGGTACTATGTATCGTTCCGCCACACTTAAAATTGTGTATCGACTACACAAGTACACAAGTGTCATAAACACACATACACACACACACATATATATATATATATATATATATGTGTGTGTGTGTATGTGTACTTAAAATGAATATTTCGATTCAACTGTACAACATTTTACCGTCACGTATTGATGACGTCAGTGTAGGTATATTCTTATTTTTCTTCGCTACAATGTTATAATAAGTGAATATAAGCGCAATGTTTATATTTTTCCTCGTTACACAGATGGTGTATAATACTATCCATTACACTATAATAATACATTTTTTTTTTTTTTATAAAATATGAAACGTCTGTCAAATGTGAGCAATTTAAAAACGTATAACATATACTTTTCGATAAATTAAAAATCAGTACAAATAAATACACCACATATTATGTAACGGATTTTATATTTTTATTTTTAAATAATCCTACATTTTTTAAATTTAATTATTGGTATAAATAATCAAGACATAATAATTTTTAAAATCAAATTGATTAAGTACTAATTAGTTGATGTTTTCTTATCCGGTATGCTAAATATTTTTTTTGACATTCTTAGTTTTTAACCGTTAATAAGAAAAATGTATGTCTGGTAATTTATTGTATCTTATAATATTTTAAATTAAACAAGCTATTGTTATTACAATAGTTCATATTCATGTTTGTTAAATAAATATTTTTACCTTTGGGTGAATGCTTTTACCAATTATACGTAAGAGTTTCATTGGAGCTGTTTAATTATAACATTTACATTATTTAGGTCACATATCTATCTAATTTACAAATTAGTTAATAACTATTTAAATAAAAATATAATACGCAAATACAAATATTTTATTTTCAACACAGTGATATCGAAATTGATAATGTTGATGTACTACGTACGAATATTTTTAAGTTTAATAAATTCAATTTATATTCTACAGCAGAGTTGATTAAAATTTCTTAAATAACCTTAATCCTCTTAATATGGTACATTATTTGCTATTAATTTTTATTGCACATTTTTTATTACAGAATTATTTACAATATGATTATTTATATTTGATACCTCTGCTTAGTTTAATTATTCTTATGTAACTTTGTAAAATTAATATTTTATACTAATCTGTCTCGATTCACCAATGAACACATCTCTATTTCTTTCTTTCTCTTTTTCTCTATGTATATATAAAGGATTTATTCAAACCATGGTATTGTTTAGTGACATTTTTCATATGTTTATAAAACTTTAAAATTTAGTTATGTTAATAATAATGTGTAGAATATGGATTAGGATAATTTAATTTAAATAAATATGCACAACATAAATATATCACAGAATACTAAATATTTTATAAATTATAATAAATAAGAGGATTTTAGATGGGCCGTTAATAGCAGGAATTTATGCACGGGTCTTATGTAGAATATATGTTGCCAAAACATAAATTATTTATGATATCATGTGTTGGTACTCACAATTAACGTATTATGCGAGTATAATAAGTATTATAATCTCTGTCGTCTAATACTTATACATCATGCAGAGGTGAAACGAACAAAGTCTAAATATTGTACCATCTATTTTTATTATTTTAATCGTATTGTTTTACGGTAACAGACAATTTAAACGTTGACACCTTAAATGGTTTTTTTTTGGCGTTATAGTTTATTGTGCTAAGTACCGGTTCATCCCCCTTACCCTCGGCTTCGGAAGGAAAGACGAGTAACGACGAGCGAAATTGATTTATTAAAAATCAATTTTTCACTCGAAGGAAATAAAACAAATGTTTGACTTTCTTTTCAGCAGCTGAATTTTGCGTATAAAATTTTTCCAAAGCGAGCATTTTTATCGCGATGACCTGTCATACACCCGCATAGGTAGCACACATACTCGTATTATACACTTATGGTAAACAATAAATCAACAAGTTTGCGCTAAGATTTCTCGCAGAACGTGATTAATCTACGGTAAATGCCTCTTTCGGTCATATCATAGTTTGGCTGTGAGTGAATTGCGACCTAACGTGTCGTTCCGGTATTGGAGACCGGTGAATTTCGGCCCGATAATATTTTAGCCGTAGGTTAGTT